ATCTGGATATTTTAAGTTCAATAAAATTTATCAAATACAAATTTACACGATGATTTATGGTAAGGTTATATGAGTTATTGAAAGACAAACAATGCTAACCTATCTTTGAGCTGTCAATTATTCAGTTGCAGCTTTGGCTTTCACACTGCATTTCAGTACATAGAATTATAATGAAAAAACATAGAAATAGTGTTAGTAGACCTCATGATGAGATGATATAACTAATGAATGTGGATAATTCTAAAACAAATATAATTTATGGACCCACTGGAGTTCAGCTGGAAAACACCTTGAAGAATCAGAATTGAAAACTAGTTAATATGTGCAGTGTAATTTTTTTCTTTGCATAATGCATGTCATTTTCAAATTTAGGCTTCAGGATGGTGTGAGACACATCAATAATATTACATTTATTTCATTAATGAAGAAACAAGCATCAAACATCTCTGCACCTCTACAAAATGTTTTCATTAGTTAGTTAGAAAAACAGTGTTAGAATTCATAGCTTCCATGCTTTTTTTTTTTATACATAACCACACCTTGGGGATGAGTTACCTGAAGGTGTTGTGGCTTTGAAATCCTTGGAGGATGGCAGGGCACACTGTTTTTCTGTTTAAAAAAAAAAAAAAAAAAAGGCGGGGTTGTCTAATTGGGGAATCACTATGTGTCACCAGTCTTGCCACTAGGGTATTGTGGTCAACATTGCAAAGGCTCTCTGCTGTGGGGTTGCTATCCACTGGGGAAGGTATTACTGAGTTTAACAGTGGCATCTTGCATGTAGTAAAGTCATTATTTACCAAGTAAAGAAAGTAGCTTAATACAGATGGAATCCTCTATTTCAGGTCACATAAAGTGACCTGGTGCTCTTAGAATTAAGAGGAAATAGTGTGGTAAATTTTAAAACACCTAGAAGACTTAGAAGAAGATCCTAACATATGTCCTACGTAAAATATAGCCAGCTATGCTTTATGATATATTCACTCAAATTACTTACAAGTCACTACATACTTTTGATAAATGTCACATGGAGACAGCAACCAAGAGAGAATTAAAGGAGAAAAAGAGAAAACTGTGATGTTGCCCTACAGTATAATAAATCATGTCTCTACACTGCACCTTAATAGTCCCTAAAAGTTTCCCAAATTTACTGACTTCTCAGACTTCTCTTCTGAGATATATAGACTGTGTTAAAACTGATCTGAAAAAGATTTTATAAAAGCAGTGATTATGTAACACCAATCTTCTTCAAATTCAGAGGGATGACTGGGGGAAAAAAATCTCATCTTACTGTACAACAAATATAGCCAACTTTCAAAGGAATAAGAGATGGCACATATTGTTTATGTACTGGAGATATGCCATTCTAAATTGCAACAAAATTCCTTTCAATGACAATTCCACATAAAAGACTATATGAAGTATATAGTACAATTCAGCATAGAAATAGAAGGTAAAATGATAGCCAGGGGCTAGCATAAGGGGAAAATGAAGAGCTGATATTCAATGGATATGAAACTTTCAGTCATGCAAGCTGCAAACATGCTAGAGATGTGCTGTTCAGCAGGGTACTTATAATTAACAATAATGTCCTATATACATAAAAATGTGTTGAGGGTAAATTTCATGTTACATGCCTTTATAAGTACAAAAAAGGAATAAATGTGAAGTCAACTGATTTAGGATGTATCTACATCCTAAAAAAAGATAGATTTTTTTATTGGAAAAACTAAAAGATAAAATAACTCTATGAAAACGGTTTTCACAAAAGCACTGACCAAAAACATTTTGCATGTTCAAGACAAAAACTAAAAAAAAAAAAACAAGAGTATTTCAATCAACATAGCTCTTTAAAGCTATCTAAGGAGATATACCAGAATTAGACTGTCTCTCCCTTAAGAATCAGCTCTCTTTTTAAAAGCACTGAAGAAACGAAAGTAGAGAAATCCTGGGCGATAAATCAGTAAAAATTTATGGAACAGCTAATATGTAACAAGCAGTATCTTTAATGCTAATGAATCAGGGACAAATAGGACAGACAATAGTCAAGTAAGTAAAAATCAGGATACCTTCTGACAGAAACACAAAGCTTTAAACAGGTTACTGGACAGACATTAACTTGAATGGATAAAAGGTAAGAGAATAGAAGACCTGTTAGAATGACTAGGACAGTTTCTCACAAGGACTTAACAAGCTGAAGTGACCCTCACGTAACTCCAGTAAAGTTGAAACTAAACTTACATGTACTTAGGTAATATAAAAATAAATGTAACAAACAAATCTACTAAGTCAAGCAGAGACTGGATAATTCTCTAGGCAATTTCCCTAGGTTAGGAGGAAACTCACCAACAAAAAGTCCCATCAAGACCACCATCATCTGCAGGTTTGGTCCTAGTCTCCAACCACAATTAAAAAGTTCCTCGCTTATATGAGAGCAAAAGGTCAAGGATGAGACATCCTCTAATAGATAAGACAGAAACTACATCAACTTTATAAAAAGTAATCTCTTCTATTATACCTGAAAGACTATTTAGAGATACAAATCAGAAGAGACAAATGAAAAAAAGAAATACAACTGTAAAAGACAGAGACCAATAAAAGATTTAAAAAAAAAACTTTTAGAAATGAAAGGCTTGTCACAAATTAAAAAAAAAACTCCAGAGAAGAAAGAGATGATAAACAAGAATTTCTCTTATTACAGAGTCAAAAACAAGAGGAAAAAATTAAAGATAAGAGGTAAAAAAAAAAAAAAAGGAAGGACACTCTAAGAAGGACATCTAACTAGAGAAGAAACAGAAGTAAGGATATTATTGAATAATTCATGAAAATTTCCAAAATTTAAAGGACATCAGTACCCAGACTCAAAGGGTTCTATGAAAAACAAGCATCTACCAAAGCACATTATCATCAAATTTTGAAGCAGTAGGGACAAAGAGAGGGGACAAAGAGAAGATCCTAAAAGTTTCCTGAGAGCAGAGGAGAGATATAGCAAACCCTAAAAAATTACAATCAAAAAACACACCAAAAACTATATATCTTCAAGATTTCTCAGCAATATAGGAATCTAGAATATAATGCAAATATAACTTTTTATATTCTAAGGTAAAATTTTTTGCAACCAACAACAGAATTGATATAATGCCAGCTGCAAGATTATCCAAAATGATGTTGACTACTCACTCTGGGCTGAGATCCCTTTCCCAACCAACTCCCACAAGAGGAGCTATAAGGAAACAACTCTGAAGAGCTCCTACTATGGATAGGAGAACTGGGTCTAGAGAGCTAGCACACCCAAACAACTGCTAGAAGCATATGACAAGAATCCCAACCCAGTACTCAAGCAGCCTGGATCAACGTAAGTCTGTTTCTTCCCTCTAAGTTTTCCTACCCCCATCCTCTGGGAATGGCAAGCAACAGCATTGGGGGATGGAGAAAAGGGGAGGTGTTTCTCTGCTCAGAAGTAAACCTCAGCTGTGTGTCCAGCAGATCTTCAGCACGCTTCTCTGTAGATAATGAAGTATGTGACTTCTTTTCTTTTGCTGGCTCTTGGTTTTGCAACTATCCCTTCCTATAATAAATCTGTGCTTTGTGAATTAATGTAATTTTTTCCAACTGTTTATATCTGGAAGGTTTTGTCAGCCAAATTATACAGCACTATAGACATTTACACAGTGAGACCAAAGGAGAATATTCTTAGGAAAAGATCACAATGGCTTAATAACTATGTGCATATGACCATATAAAATTATGTTTATCAAAATGAACTGCAAGAAATGGGAACAAAAGTTTTGTTTTGTTTTTTAATTTTGCTTTTTGTTTTCTTCTTTGTCGATGGTTTAGATTTCTGTACCTTTAACGTTGTATGTAAGTTTATCTGTCTTGGAGAGGGTTAGAAGGAGCACAGAAAGGGTGGAACAAAGGGTAAACAAATGCAACAGTGAACTTGTGGAGGAGGGGGACTGGGAGAAAAAAAATGGGAGAAAACAAAGGAAGAGGTGACACTGTTCAAAAAGAAATGTACTCATTTCCTGACGTATGTAACTATAACCCTTCTGTACATCACCTTTACAATAACAACAAAAAAAAGTATCACATTGGTAAAGGGGAAGAAATTCATTTTCTAAACCAAGAGTTTAAGGCATATTTAACTCATGAGATACTTAAAAAAATAAATCACAAGGATAGTGGTTCACAGCCAGCCAGGGAAGGAAAGTCCATGAGACTCTTATCTTCAATAAACCACTAGAAAACCGGAAGTGGCGCTGTTGCTCAAGTGGTAGAGTGCTTGCCTTGAGCTGAAGAGTGCAAGAACAGTGCGCAAGCCCAGAGTTCAAGCCCCATAACCGACAAAATAAATAAATAAATAAATAAACCAGAGACTCTCCCTGACACCTCCAGTCCTTCTCAATAACCTGTTGGAAAAGATGTTTTTCTCAAAGGAAAAATTAGCCATCATTCCCAAAGAAGTAGAAAGACATCCAAAATGATGGAAATCAGAAAAGTAAAAGTAAAAATGATGGCTGTGCAAGCTGGATCAGAAAGCAATTAAGATCCCAAAGTGTAGCTTGTGGTCTGGTAAGAGAAAAACTTACCTAAAATTCTACTCATGAGGCCAGGAAATAGAAGTCACTTAAAAGAACAAATGTTAGGAAACAAGCAATGTAGAAGGGTACACCAAAAATGTATACATAGCAAAATCATAAATTTGCCCCAAGAATCATGTTGATCATATAAAATGATGTTTATCAAAATGAATTTCAAAAATGGAAAGAGTGGTTAAATGGTAGCAGTGGAACTGTCCAACAGAAAAGATCCCAACAGAAATGCTTGAGAGAAGATGGTGAAACCAATAGAAGAAATTGACTATAAGAGGGGGATTGAGACTGGTAACTGAAATCTGTGAGTTCCGAATAAGATTCACATTTCATTTAATTTTAATAGTACTTAAAAAAAAACTTCCTATTCAACTAAGTCCATTTTTGTTGGCTTCTGTAAAAATATACCTGTGGATTTGTTTGATGCTCTCCTTCTAATTTCTGTCACCATTAGTCTTGAAACTTGTGTTGTGAATTGTAGAAGATCAGAAAATTTTTCTGTCATTGTATTTGGCGGAGCATTTCCAAAAACCTGTAGATGAGAGAAAAGATTTTTAGTGAAACATTGTCATCTCTTTTTGTTTTTCATTTTGTGAGTTTAAAATGTGTAATATTTAAATTAAGTAAAATATGTACATAATTACATCATTACTTTACATTTCTTTATGTTTAAAATATACATCCTTTAATATACATGGCTAGCCACACTTCTGTATATATTAAATAATGACTAAATCAATCAAATAAAAAAGCCAAAGACAAATATCTATAAAATATGAGTTAATCTCCATAACAAAGTTCAGAAATTTAACAGTTGTCTGAGGAAACTTAAACACTGACGAGTTTTATATACTGATGGTATTCAGACACAATTGGACAGGGAAAAGCAGAGACTGATATGCTAAGTCCAGGCTGAACAGAAAATGTACTAACCTTTATTTTAAATTTGAGAATTTCTAAATATTAACTATGATCATTTCTAAGACAAAGCTATTATGAAAGACAGTGATAAAATGAATAGAAAGCTTGTGAAATAAACTTGTTTTCATAAAAATTTAAGATAAATGTTGAACATTGATGGCTCATGCTCATAATCCTACTCAAGAGGCTGAGACTGAGGATTGAGGTTCAAAGCCAGCCTGAGCAAAAAGCCCATGAGACATATCTACAATTAACTACCCAAAACCCAGAAGTGAAGGTATGGCTCAAGTGACAGAGCACCAGCTGTGAGCAAAAAAGTATAGGAGGATGTGAGGCCGAGTTCAAGCCCAAGAACCAGCACAAAAAAATTTCAGTGTATGTATGCATGCATGTATACGTGCGTGCCTGTGTGTGTGTGTGTGTTGTGTGTATGGCTGTGTGTGTGTGTATTTGTGTGTGTTTTGGTAGAGGGCTGAACCCAAGGTTAGCATTCATAGGAAAGCATCCTACCACTTGAGCCATGCCCTCAGCCCTTTTGCTGTGTTTTGTTTTTGAGACATGGTCTCATTCAGTTCCCCAGGCTGCCCTTTGACTAGGGAACCTCCTGTCTTTACCTCCTGAGTATCTGGGATTACAGGTAAGAACTACCATGCCTGACTATATGAAATAGTTCTTTAAAAGAAGTTGGTACAGGTTCTGTAAAGAAAACAGTAAAATAAAATCTGGATGTAACATTGCAAGAAAATGAATGAAACTTAATGGCTAGTATTGACTACATGTATCCTGAAATACTGTATTAAAAATGTTCTTTATAGCTTTATAGGAAATTCTAGAATATAAAATACTCTAACAATCTTTCAAATTTACTATTAAGGCACTAACATAAATTATGTATCCTCATATTCCTTCCCAAGCTAGTGTCCTGTTTTTTTTTTTTGTCAGTTGTGGGGCCTGAACTCTGGGCCTGGGCGCTGTCCCTCAGCTCTTCAGCTCAAGGCTAGCGCTCTACCTCTTGAGCCATAATCCCACTTCTGGCTTTTTTTTCTGCTTATGTGGTGCTGAGGAATCAAACCCAGGGCCTCATGCATGCAAGGTAAGCACTCTTACCACTGAGCCACCTTCCCAGCACCTAGTGTCCTGTTTTGTATAGCTGCTCCTTAAACAATTTAAAAGAAGACTCACAGAAGACTATTGAGAATGTTGAAGGAGCACTGAAGAACATGAGAGTATATGCTAAAAGGAAGCCATGTGTGGTAGCATTAACCTAGAATAATAGTCCTCAGGCTGAAATGGATATTGAGTTTGAGGCCAATCTCAGTTACCTAAAAAGATCTAATTAAAAAAAAAACTGTAAGTATGAATGAAAATAAAACAAGCAAATAAAGACCCAAAGCTACAGGGGCTGGGAAGGTGGCTCAGTGATAGAGCACTTGCCTTGCATGTATGAGGCTCTGGGTTTGATTCCTCAGCACCACAAAAGCAAAAAGAAAAAAGCCGGAAGTGGCGCTGTGGCTCAAGTGGTAGAGTGCTAGCCTTGAGCTGAAGAGCTGAGGGACAGCGCCCAGGCCCAGAGTACAGGCCCCATGACTGGGTCCCCCCTCAAAAAAAAAAAAAACCAAAGCTACAGAGGTAGACAGACTAAATAAAATCTCAGACCAGGGGCTGAGGGTGTGAGTCAAATGGGAAAGCATCTGCATGGCAAGGATAAAGCCTTGAGTTCAAGCCCAGTATCATTAACAAAAAATAAAAATAAAGCTCATTTATTTTCTTCATAAATTTTGGTTCAAATGCTCAGAAGAGTAAATTTAATCAATTATGTTGTCCACATTGTACTTTTAAAAGTACATATATAATGTATATATACTTCATACTCTAACAACATATATAATGTATATATACTTCATATTCTAATAATAGGATATAAACATAAAAGCAAAAAAATCCTTATATTGTTGTACAAAGTACTATATTTCTTACAAATGCCCTCTAATTAAATTGAAAAATACGAAACAATAAAGCAATCAACAAGGGTTCTTACTTTTGATAGAAATTTTTGGTCTACTCTGTTCAACTAACTTGACAAAGGAGGAATTTTTAATTATCTCCAAAAAATAAATTGCTTTTCAAGAACTTATATGTTTTCTGCTGAGGTTTTCATAAACGTATGCTTATAGTTAACCTATGGCTTGTTAGGTAAGACTAGTATTGTTCAACAAATAGAAAAAGATGAAAATTCATTAGACTACTAATGATACACACTATAATTACACCTCTACTCAGATATCAATATGTAAATTTCGGTGTTTATAACTATTCTTTGTACTTCACACTGATATATATTACATTCTGCTCCTAGGAATTAAGAAGTACTTTATTTAAAGAGTTGAGACAACTTTATAAAATAAACAGCTCATTTCTTCAACAGAATTAATAGTGTACTTATTCAAGTAATCTTCATACTGGGCAAAAAATATGTTGTTGAATTGGAAACTGAATTTTCAGACAAACTATTGCTTTATTTCTGTAAAGAAATTTTTTCAAAAGATAAAAAGATTATGTCCTGGGGCTAGGAAGGTGGCTCAGTGGTAGAACACTTGCCTCGCATGCCTGAGGCCCTGGGTTCAATCCCTCAGCACCACATAAGCAAAAAGAAAAAAGCCGGACTGGGAAGGTGGCTCAAGTGGTAGAGCGCTAGCCTTGAGCTGAAGAGCTGAGGGACAGAGCCCAGGCCCAGAGTTCAGGCCCCACGACCAGACCCCCCCCAAAAAAAAAGATTATGCCCTACATTCTAATCTGAAATGAACTGCTGCTTCTTTCTTATGGAACAATATTTAGTGCAATGAACCAACACTACTGATTCACTTAATTATTTCTTCACTCACAAATATTTACTGTTGTCCACTGATAAGCAAATATCCCAGTGCCCATGGAAGCCTTCACATTCAGTATAGAAAACAAGTATCAAAAGAATTAAGATTAAAATTAGCTGGGAGGGCATGGGATTGCATGAGATTGCAATCTCCAGCGCCAAAAAATATAAACAAAAATTCAAATTATGCTAATATAGTGATGTGTTACAAAGGAAAGCAAGTTAAAGAAGAAATGCCTGGATGGGAGGAAGCTAGTCAGAAAGGGTTCCCCAAGGAAATGACTGGGTCTGAACAGTGAGACAGAAAAGAGGGTCCAGATAGAGAAAACTGAGCAAGACATCAAATTAGGAATAAGACTAGGAGGTTAAGGGGTCAAGAAGAGGCTACTCAGGCTGGAATACTCCTACTAACAGGATGGGTGATTATCAAAATGAATATTATAATACAGAATGTTGGGGGGAAGGCAAAAAAGGGTTATGGTTTTTGTAGCCAGTTTCAAGTGTGCTTCTAATATTGTCAACAAAGCATCTAATATGCATGCACACCAATGTCTGCCATGGCAATGTGGTATAAGGCTGGAGTCAGGAGACTGGGAATCTACTTTTCTCTCAGGGACTACTATTCAAATGTGTCTTTCTGGTTCTTGGTTTCCCCATCTGTCAAGGGTAAGAGTTCTAAACACTTTCTACTCAAAATCTTTAATCCTATTAACAGATCTGTATCATTCAAAGCTCAAATGAAAAAACCAATACCCAAGAACAAATCTGAATTCTAGCAAATTCAATGAGAGAATAATTATCACATAATAACCATTTACAATGTGTATAGAACAGTTCAAATATTTGACATGCCATGTAAATCTCATAAAATCCTATATAATAGGAAGTATTTAGTAGCATTATTTTACACACAAAGAAATAAAGGGTTAAGAAAGATAATTTAAGCCAAGAGTTGGTGGATAACAACTTTAAAATGATCCCACGCCTGCCTCTTTATTACTCAGTACTATATTTTCTGAGACTCTTCATGAACCAATCAATGTAACTTTTCATAGTGCTCACTTTTACAGATGAATAACAGAATTGGCTAATGTGTAAAAAAGTCATTTTGACATAATGGTTTTTTCTTAGCAGTGATAGGGGTGAAACTGAAGTTCTCGCATGCCATGGGAAAATGATTGATTATATTCATATTCCTTCCAGACCCTGAAAAGACTCATCTTAATATCCACCTGAACAGAATTTCTGGTATTCCCCCCTCCACTAAATACTTTGTGGAAAAATTATCAATGGTGATACATAATGATAGGTATTAAAACAGAAGTATGAGTATGCGATTGAATGTTTGATGCTACTCAGTAAAAATTAGATATGACCACTGATTGACCATGATTACTGATCATGGTAAATAAAACAAAAATAAAATTATGGCTTTGAATATCTGACTGAGTAATAATGTTAAAACGTTAACAATGATGGACGAATAGATCAAGAACATGTGGCACCTACACACATACACACACACACACACACAATATGGAATTTTACTCATCCATTCGAAAAAAAATCACACCATTTATAAAGAAATGGCAAGACTTGGAAAAAATTTTATAGTAAGTCAAGTCCACAGAGACAAAAGGACACAGGTTTTCCCTTCTATGTGGAAGCAAGCTTTAGCTTAATTAAATAAGATTTAACTTATTAAATAAGTTGGGAGATACATAAGTGTATACAAATGTATT